CACAAGGCACACAGCTACTGGGACATACACAAAGACGCCCGGTACACCGTGACAAACGGTTTGTCCCAGGCAATGTGACACACAGCCAGGCGGTGTGACCCAGGCAGATACGTGACACACACACAAGTGTTGTGACACACGCAGACGGCCGCATGTACACGAACCGACATGCACGCAGCGACACAGACACCGACACATACACAAGGTGACTCGGTCACAAACGCAGTGCACAGACAAAGTGCATAGACACACAGTTCGCGGTGACACACATAATCACACGCACAGACACTATGACACGTAGGATACTCACACACACGTTGGGTCCAGTCACACACAGTGTGCATAGTCACACACGGTGGTGCACAGTCACATGCACGGTCACGCACAGTCACAAACATGCCCAGCCATTGTGACACAAACACATACACTGCACTACACCTACGACTGTGACTACACTCTTCGTTCACGCCCATTGCGACTACGGGCATCTGCAGACAGCCTTGCACAAGACGTTGTAGCATCGGTTCCGCATGGCTCATGCAGCAACCAATGAGCAGGTGAACGCTGTCTTTTGATTTATACTTCTGAAACTAGGTGGTCTGCCCTTTTCCATACCCATGGTGCACACATTCCCATACGGTACTTGCTTGACAGGACCTGGACTGAGCGGGGCTATACCGCTGGCTGCATAAGGATGCACCGCTGACTAAGTGTAGTCGCACTGTGGGAACGTACAGTATAGACTGGGACAGACACAGTCTGAAGTAGTACAAGACACAGACTGGGACAGACACAATCTGAATTAGTACAACACACAGACTGGGATAGGCACAGTCTAAAGTAGTATAGACACAGACGGGGACAGACACAATCTGAGACCAACCAACAGCCTGAGACATGCAAACGGTTGACATGGACAGACAGACACGCAGGCTGGTTGTCAGGCGAAGGAAGAGCGACCCTGAATGCTTTACTGATGTGGCCCATGAATGCGAGCATTGGCCCATTGTTTCTTCGTGTTTTCCCATTTTGACGGATTCTGCACTCGGTCTGTACATCTCTACTCGGACATCTGTGTGATTTCACAACTTGGTTCTGTATATCGTCACGCTCGTATGCCGCGCAATTATTATTATTATGGTTATTATTGCTATTATTACTTATTATTATCGTTAATATTGTTATTTATTATTATTATTATTATTATTATTATTATTATTATTATTATTATTTTATTATTATTATTATTATTATTATTTTATATCTTTATTCTGATTGTTATCATTAGGCATCATACAGAGCCAGAGAAGGAGAGTATGGGGCATTGGAGAGGAGGGAGACGCTATCATGGTGCCCACCTCCTCCATCCTCCTCTATACTTGTCTTTGTGTGGTCCTCTCAGATACACGCCCCTCGACTTATTGATTAAGACTTGTGTGGAGGTAAGAATAGCAGGGAAAGCCTGCCTTAATTCCGATGAGCCTTACGCTTGGTCAGTGGTAAGAGCAAGGATTCTTCGACACCCGTCTCATTGAGGGCTAGCCAGTAATAAGAGTAGCAGGGAAATCCTGCCTTATCAGTGACTAGTCTGATATAAGAGGAGTGAGGTTTCAAGGACACTTGCCTTATCATTAACCAATCCAACATTCTTTTCAGTGGTAAGAGTAGCAAGGATCCTTGGACACCCGCCTTATTGAGGGCTAGCCAGTGATAAGARTAGCAGGAAAATCCTGCCTTATTAGTGACTAGTCTGATATAAGAGTAGTGAGGTTTCAAGGACACCTGCCTTATCATTGATCAACCTAACATTCGTTCAATGGTAAGAGTAGCAAGGATCCTTGGACACTCACCTTATTGAGGGCTGGCCAGTGATAAGAGTAGCAGGGAAATCCTGCCTTATCAGTGACTAGTCTGATATAAGATTAGCGAGGTTTCAAGGACACCTGCCTTATCAATAAACATCCTAGCACTTAGTCGGTAATAAGAATAGCAAGGATCCTTGGGCACCCGTCTTATTGAGGGCTAGCCAGTGATAAAAGTAGCAGGGAAATTCTGCCTTATCAGTGACTAATCTGATATAAGAGTAGTGAGGTTTCAAGGGCACCTGCCTTATCAGTGATTAACCATAGGATAAGCCTACCGCTAAGTGTGTTTTGGCTCACAGGGGCCAAGACCCACAAGGTTGCCTTTGTCAAACAAGCTTCAGTAGCAAGTGGCTATATCTTGAATGGTCTGCCATACCACCGCTAACTTTCTCCACAATCTGCATTGTTCAGTCCTGACTAACTATCTCTGATTCTACTGAGAGGGGATAAGTGAGATCTTGTCTCAGAGAGAGACTATCCATTTGTCTGATTATTTCCATGAGATTCCTTTCTACAGGTTGGATTGGTGATGTATTCATGTGTGTTAGGGAAAGGAAGGGAACTCAGACAAAATAATCCCAAGGGGGATAGGAACAAGATAGTGAAGGGAATATGGAGGGTTACTGTGACAGTAAAAAGGGGAGTGAACTATTATTCACTACCTGGAGCGGAAGGGCAACAACCCAAAACGATTAGTTAAGGATAGGAGTCAGACAGAAGACACAAAGTCTAGAAGGGACTTCCTAGATCTCAGTTAGGAAGAAAGATATTAAGTTTATCTTGGACTCTGTTGTGTCTATAGGTTTCGCGTCTTGGAAAGGACTTCGGAAGAAATCCGTAAGGAACTGCAAATTTTGTTATCTCTGGATAACAGGTCGGTAGAACTTCAACTCAACTTCCACCATGGCTTGATACCCACACCTAAGACAAGACCTAAGCACGAAGCAGATAAATCTTCCCTCTGTATCTATGCTTAAATTGTCCAAGTCACACTCAGAAGTCTTTGAAAATGTATGGGGCTGGGGTAAATGGTGTCAGGGTTAGGAAGAAATGTTATTTTCAAGGTTTTGGGGCGTGAGTAACTTGTTATGAATCGATTAAAGGTTGACGCTTGTAGCGCATTTGTGTCTGCATCTGTATGCGTGTATGTGATGTCTTGCATCTGCACAGGTGTTGGACGTTTGTGCTGTCTTCTGAGTTCGGGATCGTCTGAGATATTCGGGCAAAGGGGCACGACAATCCCACCGCTCAGTCAGCTCCCTTAATTTATATATATACATTTGTATATGTATATATATATATACTTGTGAATGGATCGTAGCTGGTTGAGGCTCAGAAAGTCATTTGTTTAGGTTTCTATTCGAGAGAAAGAGGGATTACAAAGTGCTCGACTTTGGCTTCTCATAAGATCAACATAAGAAACATAGAGTCATAAACATAGTTAACTTAGCGTGAAAGATTGTCCAAGAAGTTTACCTGATTAGATAGTCGGTCCGGGGAAGTTAGCACCTCGGGACTCGACATACGGGTCAGTCTTAAGGCATTCTACCGCGCGGATGCCTATGCTACGGCGATCGAGAAAACGTCCTCGGCTGGCCTACCTTTGCGATTGCATGTAAAAGCCTTCGTATGTGGGTCAGTAGCTCAGCAGGGATATGCCCGCCTAAGGAATGGTGAGAGCTCCCGCAGGTGGAGGTAATGTTGTACCTCGCGGGATCCCTAACCTGTCGTAGGGAGTCGCGAGAGGTATAACACGCACGCACGGTCGGAGTGGTGTTTTCTTAAAGGTGACAAAAGATACTCCTGCGTGCCACGACCGTGAGGTCCGACACAAAACCTACTTTGCGTCTGGGTGTGGGACCGCCGCGCGCGACACCGGGCCTCCTCCTCGCGTGTGTCGTTTGGGCCTGTCTACCCCCTTCTATTCTAGGAGGCCACTAAGCTAATGACAGTTGGAGTGAATTTCCTTTTTTTGAGCTTTCATAGTTAGATGTTATAGTCCGTGGCAGCCGTCAAAGTCAAACCCCTTGATGTTCGACCGCCACGACAGCTTAAAGCTTACTCAACCCCTCTGCACAGGGTGCAGAAGATGGTGTGGTCTTCAAGCGCGCATGGCGGTTGTCCAGCATCGAGAGATTAACCCTCAAGGCGTGTGTCAGCCGACACTTGAGTGTCGAATGTGGCCCTCGAGATTAACGAGGGCCGCGCGAGTATAGGGGATACATAGTACGCCACCATTGCGACCGCTTGTGTACGCTTGCATTGCGAGTCGATATGAGTTAGCCCTGCGTCCGTGCGATTTTATACTAAGTCTCACACCCGACGCCTATCCAATTTCCGCATCAAAAAGTTATGGGACGGTTACTAAAGGGCTAAGAGCGTTGTCGCGTTGTTTGTGTTGTGTCATTTCGTGTGTATGTGTGTATGTGTGTATGTGTTCCCTTTTTGTGTTCGTAGAGTGGTGTATGCGTGGTGAGTGGGATGCGTTCTGGCCGACCGACTACGGGTCGCGCTTGGGACTTCAGCCCCCCAAGATGTCGGTTCGCGTGCGGGTCCGATTGGGGTATTACCGCGCGTACCCCCTATGCTACATCGAACGAGAAACGCCCTCGGCTGGTCCACCTCTGCGATTGCAACCGAGTAGCCTTTGTACTGTGGACTGGTAGCTCGGCTGGGATCCGCCCACCGAAGGGAGGTGATAGCTCCCGTAAGGTGGAGGTAAGTTGTGCCTCGCGTAGGCCTTATCCTGTCGTAGGGGCTCGCGAGAGGTATGGCTGGCGCACTCGGTCGGAGCGGCCTAAGGAAGCTTCATTTGTGTGTTCATGACAAGGTTGGTCCAACTCCTGCGTGACGCGGCCGAGAGGGTCCCGCGCTGCCACGAGCGGTGCCGGACCGATGTGCTCGACAGGTGGCGCCGTTGCCTGTTCCTAGTGGAACGATATCCGGGTGCAAGTAAGAAAATAGGCATAAGAGAGTGACAAGTGTGATTGAAGTGTAAGGAAAGTGACGTGGGACTAAGTATAAAAAGGGGAAGTTCGCACCTGTATATGTGTATTTGGTTGTCTGCCCGGTCCTAGCAAGAGCATAAAGGGCGGCAATACTCACGTCAAGGGTGAGGTTAGGTAGGTGATGCGGGCTAGACCAGAAAGAAGTAGGATGCTAAGTAGGTGAGTGCCTTGGTTTTCTCTTAACAGGAAATTGGAAAAGGAGGCCTACCAAGATGCCGAAGGGTGGCAGCATATCAGATGGCGCCGGAAGGGTCCTGACCCTCGAGGACTTCATCGCAGCCCTAGATCGACATGAGAAGACCCCGAGTAACGTCCCGAAGGTTGAGACCTTCCATTTCAATGTAGATTGGCTAGATCTGGTGGAGCAGGCGATGGTGGGATTGTTAGACGAGGTGAAATTCCAGCGCATTATGAGGTACGTGCTCCATGGGCACCATCAGGAAGTGCAGAAGGTTGTGGATGCCGCCAATGACAGTTGGGCAAGGTTTAGGGAGAGCATGCTGCGCAAGTATCGGTTAGGTGATGGGTTGCTTACCATCTCGGACCTTGAGGCGATGAACAAGGACGACTTTACCACGATAGGGGCCTTCGTATAGGAGTTTAAGAAGAAGGCAAGGAAAGTTCACGGGATCTCTGAGGAAAGGCAGTGCGCCATCTTTCTGGGACTGCTCACTGCGTCAGAGGCAGCCAAATTGACGAGTCATAGAGGAGGCAGCGCAAAGCTTACTTGGGCCACCATCGACAGAGGAGTGGAGGATGGGAGTTTAGACCAAGTGGAGCAGCATCAGATGCGCCTGCAAAGAAGGAAGAGGAAGAAGAGGGACGCTACTGCATCAGGGACCCCGGGAGTAAAGAGGATAGTTGCTGATGTACTTGCGGCGTTAGGCTACGACGGCCAGGATGCCGAGGCGCAAGAAAAGGTGGTAGTCGTGGTCCAAGGCCGAGGAAAGGAGGTGGGGGATGAAGGCGCCGGGCAGGAGGATTACGGCGGGGAGGAGACGGGATCGCAAATCCTTACCAAGGCCCAGCGGAAGCAACGCAATCTGTTGCTGGGAGGCCAAGGGTCTGGCAAAGGGCAGATCCCCCAGGCAGTTGCCGCATCGCCAACAGCCGCCGTAACCGTGCCCATATCGGCAGGGCCGGCATCAATAGGGCCGCCTCCGGCTTGCGGACATTGGGTACCGTACTGTCAGGCGGCGCCCTGGCCTAGCTGTAGTCATTGCGCCTCGTGTGGAGGGGGCCAAGCCCATACTGGACAGATGGTTCCGTTTTCGGGTCCGTCAACGAGCGCAGGGCCGCCAAGTTTCTCGGCGACGCAAGGCCAATTCGCGGCCCAACCTCCCCCTTCGCAGCAAGCATTGCAGGCTAGCGTGGTGGGTGGAGGAGGCCAAGGGCAAGGTGGACAGGGCAATAGGGGTCGGGGACAAGGAGGCCAGAGGGGTGGCGGACGAGGCCGAAATGGCGGGGGACGTGGTGGTGGATGGAATAGCTAGGGGGGCCGGGGCCAAGGTGACCAGGGCAGTCAGCAAGGGGGCCAAGGGTATGGGAGACCCCGCTTCGACTGGCGGAATGCGACCTGCTGGCATTGTGGCGTTGTAGGCCACACGATTCGGTTCTGCCAGCAACGGCGGAATGATGAGCTTGCGGGCCTGATTTCCTCTTGTATGGATGGAGATATATACGATAAGTGGGGGGAACACATTGACCCGAAGACCCCGGGAGGGATCAGGTAGGAGGCCGTCATGCGGGCGGCGGGAGGGTCATCGGCTGCCCCGACCATGCTCAGAATGTGGCAGGAGAGAGAAGACCCGGCCATAGGAATCGAAGAGATTACGGGGGATAGTGAGGAGGTTATGCAACTGCTAAAAGTTGGGGCCATAAAGGAAGAGTCGATACGTGTTTAATCGGATGATGAGGGGAAAGAGGGTGAGAGGGAGCCGGCCATAACCACCCTGGAAAAGATGGAGGATCTGATAGAAAAAATGGGGAGGTACCAGCGGAGACTAAAAAGGCTATGTGATGAAGTTCAGGGGTGGAGAGTCAACCTCCCGAAGGTCTTTCTCTATGAGACCGCGCCGGGGCCGGCAGCTGGACAGCAGAGTAGTCCCGGGGTTGCCGTAGCAGGGTCTGGCCCCAGGTCAGGAATGACGTTCAGATCGCCCACCCCGCATGGGCGGGCGCCACAAGCAACTCAAACCAAGAGCCAAAGTAAGGCGGGCCCTAGTCAGACGCCAAGTCAGGCACCTCCACGGAAGAGACCTGAGCCTGAGCGTAGGAAGAAGGTGGTCGAGGTCCAGGAAAAAGAGGAAGAGGAAGAAGACACGGAGGATGAGAGATTTCGTCAGGAGGAGGATCGGCAGACGGAGCAAAGAGCCCAGAGAAGGGAGGCTCAGGAGAGAGCCGAGCCAGGTCTACAGGAAGGTTTGCCCAGGAAGAGAAAGTACACCGTCAGGTTAGAGGAGGACTTCGACGTGGAAAGGATGGTGGACCGGCTCCTTGAAGGTCATAACGACCTTATGAACTTAAAAGATATTCTGGCGTCCGCACCAAGACTCCGGGAGGAGTTGAAAGGGCGATTGTCTCGAAGGCTAGTGCCCAACGTGTATTTGAGTATCGTCTTGCCCAGGGAAGTGGGATGTACACAAGCTGGGACAAGAATGGACTGGAAGTGTGTGGCATGTGGATTGGTGGACTTGGTAGTAAAAGAGAAGAAGTGCGTGGCAATGATGGATACGGGCGCTGAAATGAACATCATTAGGGAAAGAGATGCGCTCATGCTTGGGATGGAGATCGACCGTGCAGATCACAGCATGCTGCACGGAGCTAACTGCAAGGCAGTTTTTTGCGGCACCGCGTTGAATGTGATTATAGAGATTGGCAAGGTGCGAGCGAGGACGTGTTTTTTCGTCATGCCAGATGTGGACTATCCTATTCTTCTGGGCAAATCGTTCATGTACAAGCACGATGGAACGATGATATTGCTCATGAGTGACCCAGCCTGTGAAAACTATGAAGTTGTCACCTGTCGGAACACGGGGCCAGGAAGTGAGTGGAATAGGCCTAACCCCGGCTCGTTCACCTACGTGGAATCGGAGAATGAGCGGCGGAGGCTCTGGGAGGAACCCGAGGAGGAGGATGGGGCGGAGGTACTGTCACTAAGTCTTACAGACGTGAGTAAGGCTATGGAGATCGTGGCAGCGCATGAGCTCGCGGACCCGGAGGCCATCAAGGCCTTGCGAGAGCATGTTTTGGAATGCCCACAGGCAGGAGAAGTGGAGCTTATCTATCGATTTCCTGGGGGAAGAAAAGGGTCTGCGATGGCACAAGCACAAACAACAAGCTGACTTTTTTTAGGGGACGGCTTAAGGAGGGCGCCCAAAGGCGGTACAAAACGGTGGATAAAAAATGTCGCCCTGTTCCCGTGCTTGTTACGGAAGATGAAGAGGCTTATTACGAGCGGGAGCGAGGATTGATACGACGAATGCAAGAGTAGGCACTTAGGGATCCATGCCGTATCAATGATGGAAATGAAGAGAAGTTAATAGTCGGGGAGCCGGGGTTTCTTTCGCCCCAGGAAAGGATGTTGATGGTGCAGCTAATGAAGAAGAGGCATCGCGCATACGCCTTTAATGACGATCAGCGAGGGAGGCTGGATGTGGACAAGATCCCGATGATTTGGATCCACACGGTCCCCCACGAGCCCTGGAACCTAAGGGGTGCACGATACCCAAACCCTGATGAGGAGAAGATGGTGGTGGGCTATTTGGATGGCAAGATGCGCACGCATGCTGCCGGCTACTCTAGTGGTCCATATGCTTCCCCTTGGTTCTGCTTTATCAAGTCGAACGGGACGCTACGGTGGGTACAGGATCTGCAACGACTAAATGCGGTAACGGTGCGAGATGCGGGAGGCTTGCCGAATGCAGATACACTGTCAGAGTCATGCGCAGGGAGGCCTATAATCTCACTTATAGACCTCTATTCCAGGTATGATTAGTTTCTTGTATACCCGCCCGATAGGCCGGTGACGACAATGCACACGCCAAGGGGGCTAATCCACATGAATGTGGTCCCTCGAGGTTGGACGAATGCGGTGGCGATGGTGCAAAGGCATATGATCAGGGTCATGCAAACAGTCAGTCCGTACATCACTGAGCCCTACATCGACGATTTGGCGGTCAAAGGGCCAAAGGAGAAAGAGGAGGACGAGGTGCAGCCCGGAGTGAGGCGTTTTGTCTGGAGGCATATCCAGGATCTCGATCGAGTCTTGGGTCTGCTGGAGGGATATAACCTCACTGCAAGTGGACCAACATCCAAGCACTGCATAAAAGAAGTCACTATCCTGGGGTTTGTCTGCAACGAGAAGGGCCGGAAGCCAGACGTGAAGAAGACAGACAAAATCTTAGAGTGGTCGGTGTCTTTCCAGACCATAACGGATGTGAGAAGCTTTCTTGGCACCTGCGGAATTTTGGAGGAGCTTCGTGAAATACTTCGCCGCCAAGACTGAGCATTTAAGGAAGCTCGTGCGCCAGGACCAGGAGTGGGTTTGGGGCGAAGACCAGGAAGAAGCGGTAACCAGGATGAAGGGAGAGTTCAGGGAAGGAGGATTGGTGTTGGGGGCGTCAAATTATGAAGGGACTGAAGAAAAGTCATTCATCATCGAGACAGACGCCGGGCCAACTGCATTGGGAGGAGTTTTGATCCAGGCGGATGTCAAAGAGAAGGAGAGGCCGCTAAGATTCAAAAGTCGTACTCTTAACACGACTGAGAGGAACTACTCTCAGTTTAAGAAAGAGAAGCTTGCGGTACTCCATTGCCTAAGAATCTTCCGGAATTACGTCTTCGGCAGGAGATTTATATTAAGGGTGGACCCTATGGCACTTGCCTGCTCCCTGAAGAATTATACACCATCTGACCCAACCGTCGCCTGATGGTTGACGTACATTTGGATGTTTAATTTCGAGCTAGAAAGGATCCCAAGGAACAAGAATAGGGTTGATGGCCTGAGTCGCGTCAACTGGGACGGTGTGAATCAGGAATCGACTGAGGACACCCCGCCAGTCGACGGGTTCCTAGATCAGGAGGAAGATGTGCGCTGCGAGTACCCAGTTGTGTTAGCCATCCCATATGGATAGCACCAAGAGGGTATGAGCGGAAGGCCGACTTAGTCCTTAAGCCATTTCAAGAAGAAGATTTGTGGGGAGGCAAGGACACCCAGTGGATGATGAAGTTGACATTGGCATGTACACACAGTCTGGTGGAGGAAGTGAGGATGATAGGAGAAGGCCCCACTCAGGTAGAGGAGCATGAACAGCTAATGGGAGGGATGTATCTGCTCACTAATACGCTCCTGCAAGGAGACTTCGACCAGAGAGGCTCGTTTAGTAATGAGGATAATGAAATCCTGATTCCTGAAAGTCAGGACGCTGAGTTCGAAGAGGGGGAGATTAAGGAGGCGTTTCGGGCGAAGGAGTATGATGGGATCTACCGAGAGTTGGGGTTGCTCCTATCATGTGAGATGAGAGATAGAGACGCAAGTGCCAAAGCGCAGAAGATGAGGCACCTCTACGTAGTAAGAGATGGTCATCTGTTTATAAAGCGGCAGGTCGGGAACCCCAAGAGGATCATATGCGGGAGGAACCGGCAGATTGATATCATAGCGGCCCTACACGATGGTATAGCAGGAGGGCACAGAGGGATAGGTGCCACATGCACGAAGATAAGCAAGCTCTACCATTGGGATGGAATGCTGACGATGGTCATCAAGTACTGCCAATCTTGTGTACCTTGCCAGGAGAGGTCAGCGCAAAGGTCGGGAGAGCCTCTGCACCCAAGGTTGGAAAGGGAAGTGGGTGAGGTTGTACACCTGGACCTGTTGTTTATGCCAGTTGGGGAAAATGGGTGCAATTACATCTTCGATGCCCGGGATAACCTTACTGGGTTTGTGGACGGTCGGGCTATCCGGACGAAGACTGGCCCGGTTTTGGCAAATTGTATCGAGGAGTATTACCTGCGCTATCCTTTCGTCAAGGAGTTCGTGATGGATCAAGGATCGGAGTTTACCTGCAATGAGGTGTGAACCTTGCTTGCAGGGTATGGGGTAGTGGCCAACTATACTACGGCCGCGCACCCTCAAGCAAACGCTCCTGTGGAGAGGGGGCATTGTACCATCACGAATCTCTTGGCTAAGTGGACAGAGGGCAAGCCTGGTCAGTGGCCGAAATTCCTGCGAGCGACTTTCTTCGTGGAGAATGTTACTGTGAAGAGGACTACCAAGTATGCGCCAGCCACGCTGTGGTACGGGAAGCACGCCACCTTTCCTATAGAAAGCTTTATGAAGACGTGGAGACGCCAGTACTTGGAAGTGAACCTGCCCTTCGAAGAGTTGCTCGATATTCGGGCGCGGCAAGTGGGGGCGGCCGAGGAAAAATTGCGAGAGGCCGCTGGTCAGGTAGAGAGAAGCCGCATGGAGGATAAGATGAGGTGGGACCAGATGGCGCACGTAAGGAAGGAGCCGTTGGCAGTGGGGGACATCGTGTTACTGTACGACTCCTCTCTGGAGAAGCAATGGTCGAGGAAGCTCGACAAGAGATGGATGGGCCCGTATAGAATTGTGCGATGCGGCGAGTTTGGGGCATACCAAATCGAAGAGCTAAACGGGACGGAATGGAAGGATTGGGTATCCGGGACAAGGCTAAAGAAGTTCGTGGCCAGGGAATAGCTAAAGTCGCGATCCCTCCCAGTAGTCGTGATCCCTCCCAGAGTAGACCCTCGTCCTAAGTATTGCATGCCATGATTGGAAGCGAAGAAAGGCTTGATGTGTCTGAGATTGAGTGTATATTTGCTCTGAAGACTGTTGAGCCCATATGCTGATCCTGTCGTGTGCCTGTTGGTTTCGTTTCGCCTGATGTGCAGGTCTGACTTTTTGAAGGCAGCCATGCAGAGGGGCGGGCGGGGCATGCGGCCACGACAGAGACCTCTCGGGGCATCCGGAGGGGAGAAGCGGCATGGGCCCTTCAGGAGAGAGCCTACACCCGTGTTTGATGACGACAACGTCGAGCTCTTCTTGGATGCCTAGCGAGAGCATGCAGCCCAGAGAGGATGGGACGTGTCTGAGAGGGTACGTCACTTGAGGGGAATTGGGAAGTTCGAGGAGCCCATTGCGCAAATCAGGGAGGAGGCCCTGACTTGGTCGGAGGTAGAGGCGAGGATGCAGAGATTGAGAGCTTCGCCTTTGGGGAATGATGGGCTACCTATCCGCTTGGAGGAAGGGAACGTGGAGGAGTTCATCCCGGCATACAAACAGTATATGAGCGATCAGGGGGTTCCGAGGGATGAGTGGGTGCAGGCACTACTCATTTGGACCAGAGGAGCGGAGCGTCCACTGGCGAGGCAGATCCGGGGTCGGGCACGAGATTGGGAGGATTGTCGGGCCCAGTTGAGGGAGGCGTTCCGGCGGCCGGGACCAAAGAGGCCAGAACCCAAGGTTGATAGAAGGCGGCGGAGCAAGAGGTTAAGAGATTTGGAGGCAAGAGAGTCGGTGGCATCGAGAGGCGACCGGAAAGCCTTGGCACAGCGGGAAGAAGAACAAGCAGGACCGACTAGGGCGAGGGAGTCCTTCCCAGCCTGTGGCCTCAGGCAGGTGGAGTTCCATCCAGTCATGGAGGGTGACCTACCAGGATCCTCGCCACGGGCACCAGGGCGGAGGGAGAGCGAGGTACCGGCAGCACCATTCAGGGGCCTGGAAGCCCACCTGGACGCGTCCCAGTGGGAGGCCTCCTCAACAGGAGTGAGCCCTATGGACCCATCAGGAGAGGAGCGAATTTTCCCCGAGCTCGAGGCAGAGCCACTCCGATTGAAGGGGTTAGGGGCGGAAGATGTTATTGTGGTGGAAGATGATACTCCTCCCGACTCCCCAACTTGAGTTCATACGCGGCAGTCTTGGACAGAGGGCGTCCCTGAGCCAGACAGCCAGGAGGCCTCAGTACCACCACCAGAAGCCGCTATGTCACCCAGGCAGGAGATTGAGGCACGAGGACCGGAAGAAGGGTGGAGAATTGAGCCCCGCCTAGTCATTGATTCATGTTTAGCCTCGCATGCAGCTGAGCACCCTGACATTGAGGGGCCCAGCCTGGTTGGGCCATCATCGGGGCCAGCATGTACTGAGTTAGGGGAGGGCTCGCAAGTTGCGACTGGGGAAGTCACGGAGGCAGGCATAGGAAAGGAGCCAGATGAAGCCGCCCAGTTCAAGCGTGCCAAGGTCCGAGCTCGCCTTGCGGAGATATATGAGCGGAGGGACATGATGGAGGCTGCAGGGATAGCGTCAACGCCACCAGTCGACCCTAAGACGAGTGAGCAGAGGATTGACGAGTTGTGGGCCAGATATGAGGGGTGGAGAGAGGCAGCTCGCCAAAGGGCACAAGAGACAGGCCTGGCAACTGAGGGTGCAGACGAGGCAATAGAGATTGGAGAGCTGGGTTTTTCTGCCGCTAGGAAGGTCATCGAGTGGGTGGACAAGGAGATAAAGCAGACATCCATCACGGCCTTTCAAAGGTACTCGCTACTCAGTGATGAGTTGGCCCTCAGGAAAGGGGAGGTGGAACAGCTGACTGCCCAACTCGCAGAGGAGAGGCTCGAGAACAAGGTCTGGCAAGCTCGCCTAGAGGCAAAGGAGGCTGAGTGGGAGGCGAAGCTCAAGGAAATGGCGGCCGCAGTGGAAAGACTTGCCGCTACCAAGGTGATCGACTGGACTGAGCAGAACAGGTACGGCATCCAAGGCGAGGGGGTGCAAGGGCTGTTTGGCCAAGAGGAGGAAGCAGAGGCATCTCGGCAAGAGAAGTTGGGGAAGGTATTTCTGGACCCAGCTGAGGCAGAGGCAAGAAAGGAAGCCAGCAAGGGAAGCTTTGAGTTCAAGGCTCCCACTGAGCTGGCTTCGCAGCAGGAGGCCCCTACTTCGGCAGATACCCCTATAGAGGCGTTGACCCAAGAACCCCTACCTGCACCAGTAGAAGAGGGGGCGGCTGAGGAGTCACTGCTGATCCTTCTGGACGTACAGGAGGGGACTCTCACTGGAGCGGTAGAGCCTCCACAGCTTGAGGCGCAGGGGAAGGAGCCGTCACGTCTGGACGAGTTGGTAGCTGCTATGAAGTTGGATATGCCACCGGAGGAGCCTCAGGAGCAGAGGACCCCGGAGCACGAGCCAGAAATGGGGAAATTGAGGGCACAGCTGGGCTCGTGGGCCACTGGGACCGATTCGGGGGGACCGACTACTGATCAGCGGCAGCAGGAGGCCACGAGCCAGCCTACTAGAGTCGCTACTCCCCAGACTCCGAGGCCTCGCGAGAGTGAGGAAGCGGCTATGGCAGAGGAAACCCGCGAGGGCAGGCCACTGAGGTTGGATACCCCTGAGTACCAACCCGAAGGAGAGATGCAGCGAGGGGAGTCAAGTGCCCAGGGAACAGAAGGAGGAGCTGAAGGACCGTGGCGCCTGCCCCAGAGTCATGAAGCGAGCAAGGAAAAGGAAGAGGCACCTCCGTCGTTAGGGGCCCAGAGAAAGAAGAATAAATTTCAGAGAAAATCGAAGGCTATGTGTTTCTATTTCCTGGATGGTGTGCATAGGGCCCTTGAGTGTCCTAAGTTCCTTAAGGACAAGGCTGAGGGGCGGGTTAATGAGCAGGATGGCAAGATGTATGATAGACAGGGCCGAGTGGTAGAGAGGGCTCCGGATGGGGGTCGAGCCCTGCTGTATAGGCAAAACCAGGAGGAGATGAGCGAGTTGGGACTGGTTTGCCTATACGCCAGTAGAGGTGAGGTGTTTTCTGTACATAGGAAGAGTGAGTCAGGGGTACAATGTATCATGGGTCAGATACACGTATCCTAGGGTGTCGTGTATGACTAAGGACCAATGTACAATAAGGTTTTGAGGTTCTTTTCGCATTGTGATCCGAGGACTGAGACTCAGCTGTGTGACACTTAGGACACCTAATTGTATTCCATTTTGTTTAGAGATCAGAGTCTACCTATAGGTGATGTGAGAGTCAGAAACACCTACGGTATGATCCACTGGATATGAGAGGGGACAGAGCACTTAAATATGGATGTTGGGGTTTGAGAGATATTCTATTGTTGGGTATATACCGAGTGAGGTGTTGAGACTACTTCCCTGTGTATGACGATCACTCTCACTCTCACATGTGTGGCTTTCCGATGTATGATGATTTGTGTGGGATTTGTGTGACAAACAGCTCATATGCTTATGCCTTGTGAGCGAATGTAAACTGTCTACTTTTCGGTATACTCGTGCGACCTGCCCGTGGGCAGATGAGCGGGTCAAGTATAAGGAGAGGAAGCGCAGTCTGTTTTGTGGAAAGAGTTGTAAGGATCTCAAAGAATCCTTGAGTCCGTGAGACTCGAAAGCTTATCATGCCAAAATGTTACGTGTCTAAGTTGTGTTGGAGACCCATAAGTTGGCCTCCTGTTCTGTATCATTGCTATGGTTAAGTTGTATCCCATGCTTATTTGGGGGATTCATCTTCAGAAAAGGAAGATGCTTGCGAGGGTCATGGGGGAGCTCATCCTGGAAAGGAAGGGGTGGCTGACAGACCTATTGAGTGGAACCTCCTTCGTGGGAAAGGCGATTAATAGATCTAATGGCATGACAAGCCGGGTTGGTGAGATAAAAGACTGACGAAAGGAGCCAGGTTCTGCTGGCCATTTGATGAGATTTTAAGAATGTTGCAAAATATTTGATTCTGAGAGGTGTCATTGAGATGTGTGGCACTCTTACTCTGATCAAGTTGGAGATCACGGCCTAGTGGGTCTGGCGGTGCTCTTGTTTGTGAATGTGAAGAGGTTGTCATGTGTTCCTCTGTGTTGTCCAACAGAGGACTGGTAAATACCTTTCGTACGTGACGGACCTATGCGCAGTCCCGCATTTGGCCTGTATTGTTGCGACACGCCGCCTGGCCGCTTGCGTTAATCTCGAGGCATATAAGGAAGACCAAGCTAAACGGTAAAGTTTTAGCACCACGAGGGCGTAACCCCTAGGGGGGGACTGCTGGGCGGCGCAACCTCGCTGCGGGCCCACGTCGGACCACGGGAATAAGATCTCCAAGGGTGTGGCCGCCCGGGAAGGTTTTGCCCCTGTGGAACGGCCTGGGATAAGGGTCGAGTCATATGAGTCTTTTTTAGAAGTCCTGATTGAATGTTTATCAGGAGAAAGTCTGTCGTGGCGCAACCTGCGAGGGCACTACCGCTAAAATAACAACTCGGTGGATCGTAGAACTGTCATGATCAACCAGACTATGGTGGGCCAAGATGGAGATTTAGCACTTCCATACTGGACTGCGGAATCTGCTGAGAGAGAGTTATGGACGCACATAATTATGTGTCTAATTGTGAGGAGTTTCTTGAGAGAAAGGCAAAAAGCCTTCAAAAGTCTCGGTTAGGGCCCTCGCCCCCAGTTATGACCCTGCTTACCAGGTAAGGGTTGGTGACACCCAACGAGAGGCTAGCGTTTGTCTAGGACAAAGGAACGAGGACGGGTATGAGGGTCTTTGGAATTTATGTTGTAGTACCGATGCGCAGTACACCGATGTCCTAGTGTCAGGACAATGGAGACCCAGGTTGAAACCCTGGCAGCATAAAGTTGTGTAGGCATGGACCGCTGGGGGGCTCGAACCTAAGTCTGTAGGCCGATCGGAGTGGTTCCTTCTCGTCAGCATTTTGGTGTGTGGATGGATTGATATTTTTTTATATATTGCGAAGCGACGGGGACGTCACTTAATACAGTCCAGTAGGCTGTCGGCGCGGATACCCTTACAAGGGTATCCGCCCTGGTTTTTGCAAATGACAGCAGGGCCGATGGTCCAGGCCTGTGGGTTCAAACGGCTACCTGTGTATGGGTCAAGAGCTACCTAAGTAGATAGGTTGGGTGGGCGCGCAGCTTTAAGGCGCGCGGGTGATTTTTCCCCCTTTTAACCGTATTGTCGACGTAGATATCCGGCCTGATTTTTGTATTTCTGATTAGGCCAAAGACTAATAGGCTGGCCCCGTTCACTGCGCTTGACTGGCAGCCGGCCGGTGAGACGGATGGTATGCAGAAGCGGCCACGACATGGTTGAGGAGACCGGTGTGGATATCCGGCGGCTGCACGCTTGGTTATAGATAGGGGCGAGGTCCCAGGCTTTTCCCTCAGCGTTAAGAGCGGGACCATACCACCTTATATAGGATCCGGCGCCTGCTGGTTCCAGGCTTGGGCTTAGCCCTATAGGTTACGGTGTCGGGTTGCTGCTACGAAGGTTCGAGGATCGAGGCTGGTAGGCAGCGGAGCGGCGAGTAGAAAGCTGAGGGGTGGAAGGCCGTCAGCGGTATCCCCCTCACTTTTTGCTGGAGGGTGCGATGATGGGCACGAAGCACGGGACTGGCCAGGTGCCGGCTGCCCCCTATTCCCTTAAGTATTTGCCTCTGTAGTTTTAATTTTTTTTTTTTATTATTTTTTTTTGGCAGAGCTTACTTTTTCACCACTTTCGGAGCCTGGCGTGCCGGCCGAAGTCGGGCCGGGGCACAAGGGCAGTGGGGCAGCTAGAATTAGCGAGGGTGTAGCCGCGGTCCAAGTCTCTGGGACGCCCGCTGAGCGTGGGGCGGAGCAGCGTGCCCAGAAGTATAAGGCTAGCGGCAGCGCCCAGCCAGTCAGTCATTCTCGTGTAAGCCGTGTGTAAGCGCTGCCTGGAGCGGGTTATGCAAGGTGGTCTGCAGTGAACCGGGGTTGCGGTGGGCAAGAGGGGAGAGGCGCCCGGACGCGGTTCATAGCTCGATCCCTTCGCAGGTCGAGACGGGGAAGCAGCAGTGATGGCAGGGTGAATGAATCGTGGCGCGATATTGTGCCGGGTACTTTCAACAGTGAAAACAGCAGCGCGAAGGAGGTGGAGTTAAGGACTTAAGGCGGGTGCGGGGAGAGAGTGGAGTGTCAGAAGAGAGGTCGAGTCGGGAGACCGAAAGTGAGTGGTGAAGTGCAGAGGTACCTGGACGCGTTTTTGCGCCAGGTGCATTCACGGGTAAGATGGCAGGGATGATGAAGGGGACGAGCGCGGAAGGCAGGGGGTAGGAGTCATTACACGCTCGTTTTTGCGGGTTGGAGCGAAGGAAGAGGCGAGTGATCTCGATGTTAGCCTCAGTGATGGATTAGAAGGTTAGGAGTTAGAGTAAAAGCGATGTGTGCCGAGTGCCTCTCGGGCTATGGCGGGAGGGGCAGAACAGATACTTCGTTCCTTCAAGTTCCTAATCGGGTTTGAGAGGAGAGAGGTCTGGTTCGAGGTTTCTGGGTAGGGCGAATGCCATAGCGAAGTTAGACTTAGCGTTAGGATAGTAAAACAAGGAGTTAGCAGGGAATCCAGTGGGTGGAGGTGTTGCGAAGGTGGGTATGGCACACGGGAGAAAGCTCGATTTGTTTTGAGCTCGAGAGAGGGAACGGGTTGGTCCGAAGTTTGAGTTATGGCGAATAGTATGGCAACTTCGGTTGTCGATTACGAGTTAGTAGTTCGCCTGGAGTCCGTATCGTAGGCTGCGCCCGAAGGAGGAATGAGTTCGAGGCTTCACGTATTTGGGGGGTTTTGCGGTGGGTTCGATTCTATTCTCCTATTGAAGTTAGAAGTGGTCTAGCTCTACCCGTTGTCGGATGAGCATTGCGCGGACACCCACAGGAGTTCAGATTTGGTTGGCGTGAAGTCACGATAAACGTTGTTGTCATCCCAGTGCTCTATCAGGATCGCTGCCCATTCGGGATCTCTGCTGAGAGTACCGCCTTCTGACCATTATGCGCTCTGGCGCAGGTTTCCGCATGACTGTTATTACGTTTCTGGTTGAGGATAGCTCCACTGAAGGGTCTCGCCTCCGGGCTGCAGTGGTGATTACTCACCCGGAATACTGGTATTCTGCTAGACGAGGCAGAGCTATCGGTGCCGTCTCAGCCTGATACTACGGGTTCAGGAGTGGCTGATACTACTGAGCGCTGGCCACCGGGTGGCTGTGTTAAGGAACGTTGGGGGACAGTCAAGGGGGGCATTGCCAACTGCCTTCGATTAAAGCAGAACGCTTCCACCGACAGTGCCGTTGACTACAGATACGGTTTGGGTTCTGCGGAATGTGTTACTGAAGGTTGGAGGTTGCGGATTGGGTCCAGAACGGGGGCTGTTACGGTAGCCCAAGGGCGGGTGCCCTTCCGCTGCGTCGACCAGTGGCCAACGAGATTGCTTCGTAAGTTGTTGACTGCAGGTTACTTCACTGTCTACAGCATCCGAGTTCCTGATACTATAAATCGCCGCAATTACTATAGGTTACCGTGCTGTGGTTGGGACGACGGTATTAGTTGTGTAYGGTTGCCGCTCSTRTTGACTGTGCGCGAAAGGTTGCGGCTGTTGTTGACTGTGCACGCTTACTGCCTCTCTTGACTGTGCATAAGACTGTGGYTGTATTGGCACTGCCTGCTGTGCTTACTTCATACTACTGTGGTTGCGGAGCAGCACCAAGTTATCGAACGCATAGTGTCTACTACGAAGGCGGTTGCTGTATGYGCAGTCTTWCTATACTATGTCATTGTRCACTCTGAGCTTCTCTGGGTACTAAGTGGTGTTTTGATTGCTGGGAAAGGCTGTTGCGCCTGCTTGGCTGCGCGCAGGCTGAGGCCAACTGCGGACGGCTGCGAATCGTTGTCGCCAACTGCCGACTGCTGCTGTGTGTTGCGGCTACGCCTGTGGACTGTGCACAAACTACATGCAACTGCGCACTACGACAGGCCACTATGGACTGCCACAGTTCTTAGAGTATAGTTGCGTAGTGGTGAGTGACTACAGTTAGGCCGAAAGGAAGGCTGTTGTAGCAGGGGCTTGGAGAAGTGGGCACGCAGAAGGGGGGGGGACTACCGCTGCAACTTGGGAATCTGTCAGGAGAGGCTGGTTCTGCTGTTTGACTTGGAGAGTTGACCAAGCTGCTACACTTGGCCATCATTGCGGGGCCCTCAGGCGCTGAAGACTTCAAGGCCCTCTCATGCGAGTCTGAGTGCACCCTTCTTGTATCTGAGAGTCTTAATSTATCTTCCTCTGCCCTTCTCACTCTCAGTCTAGTCTATTGGTTTGGAGAGAAGGGCGGCAGGCGGGATTGCAACCCRTAATCYGCGCCAAGGCCTCTRTGGGAGGTTGCCCCACCGATTGCGGGAGCCCTGCCGGAACTCAAGAGGAGTTCTGGAGGCARGRAACTCAGAGGTWAYCGTTRYTTCCTTTATAAACYCAGYCTAACCCCTATCTATACCTCTCCCTATGTATTGGCTGACTGCATTGTATGTCACCCTTACTTTGACTTTGAGTTGACTTTCAGGACACAAATCAGACCAACTAAAGGAATGTTTGTATAATGGCAGTCTCAGTTTCTTGATTGTCTGAAAGCAGATTCTTACAAAGGGATGCATCAGGGGGAAGGTTGGGAGGAAGACGGTTTTGCTTGCGATTGAATGGGTCTTATAGGATCAAGCATTGTTTCTAAGATGAATGGCCTGACTGCTGTGTTTTGTTTTGTTTTCTGAAGAACCAAGCATTGTTTCCAAGATGAATGGCTTGGTTGTTGTGTTTCTTTAATTATGTCAGACATTGTTTCTAAGATGAATGGTCTGGCTACTTATTTCTGAGGGGTATTGTTTGCTTGACTTTTGAGGGCCAGACATTGTTTCTAAGATGAATGGTCTGACCGCTTTTTTACCTGGGTGGTTTCTGAACAGTCTCTGGGTCAGACCCAGGGTACTTTGCTTTTATTATGTGATGAGAAAAGGAGAGTAGAGCATTGTTTCTAAGACGAATGACTTATCTCTCCTTGGTTGTTTTATTATGAGGGAGGGTTAAGGCCAAAGGACTAGACATTGTTTCTAAGACGAATGGTCTAAGTCTGAGGCCACAGGACTATAATGAGAACAGAGGAATATGATTATCTATAATGTTATATATATATGTACTTATATGCGAACAAGGCAAGTCAGGCATTGTTTCTAAGACGAATGGCCTGACTATAGCCTTATCACAAGCGAAGAGAGTATAATCAAGAGCTATAACTGAAGGTAACCAGGGCAGGTTGGGCATTGTTTCTAAGATGAATGGCCCAGCCCTACGCCCTCCTTTTGAAGACTAAGGTGCAGAAAGATATATATAACTTGGTTATTTAAACAGTTCAAGGTGACTAAGCATGGTTTCTAAGATGAATGGCTTAATCATATGCCCAATGAAGAGAAAAGTAGTTGTGCAACCTGTTTGTGTATAACTAAGGCAGAGGGCTGGCATTGTTTCGAAGACGAATGACCAATCCCAACGCCCTATGTAAGCAGGGTGTAAAGGGTGAAATAATTGAAAGACTATGAACGAATGTATGTCGAAACAACTTGGGGATGGTGAGAGTACTTACCCTTGTGGTTTGGCTTGCATGTGACTTAGTGGCATCACTACCTAGCCTGAGTTTGAGTTGATAGGTAGTTATTGTAGTGGCTCGCCATGTGCTAGAGCTATAGGAGCTAGATTCAATTTATGTATTGTCTGTGATAGCTTTTTTTGCTTAGTTCGATTTCTGCATTTATCTGAGATCTTTTCTTATACTTGGGCTTGTATAAATCTTGATAAGCCACTTTTCCTACGGGAAGAGCTGCCGAAATTTCTGCAAATCCAAGGAGTTAGACAAATCTCTGACTTTTCAAAAAGTTCAACTGTTCTGAATCATATATGGCTTAGTAAAAATTTGGGAAGTCTCCCTTTCTAAAAGGGGTGCTACCCAAATTTTTACTAATTCAGGAAGTTAGACAAAATTGGACTTTAGAAAGTCAAAGACTATTCCTGTTTTTATATTCAGGCTTATATAAATTCTGGAAAGACAGTTTTCTTACGGGAAGCGCTGTCGGAATTTCCTTAGTTTAGAGGAGTTAGATTATATTCTGACAGGCGGCAGAGTTGGCAGGCCACTCTGTATAGAGGAGAAACCTAGCCAAAGGTCTACCTTTTCTTTGAGCCCTGACTTAGGACTAGGCTCAGACCTAGTTGGCTACCAGAAGGTTAGATGGGACCACCACATAGAAGATAGTTCACATATGACTTACAGGTTCAGTCTTGGACATTGACCTGTCTTGAATTACAAGCCAGTTTGAACGATCTAATTCAGGACTTTGACTAGTTCAGCTTGATCCTATAAGGATCATCATCTGTTATGTTATCACAGATAACAGGTCGGTTGCCGATTCGTCGACCCACGACTCAATTCCTACTCACTCCCCATAGTCAACCTAAAAGGTTTTATCCGTGGTCATCTTCTTGTTTGTTAAGGGTTTTCACCCGGACTTTTATTGAATGGTCATTTAACAAAGGTACTGAGTATTCAATTACGATTGGTTGGCTGGAGGTTGGGGCTTGCATGGCTAAAGCAAGGAGTATGAGTATGGAGATTGGTTGGAGTTGATTCCGTGTAGTGTGTGGAGTTTTGCTTGACCCCTGGATGTGATTGCAGGTATGTATTGTGGCTCGAGTTATTGGATCGGACTGCCTGCGATCTCACATATATAAATGGCTATGAGGAATCCCATGGTGATTGTGAGATGTGGTCGTCACACACACATATATATATATATATATATATATATATATATATATATATATATATATATATATATATATATATATATGTATGTATGTATGTGTACCTACGTGGGGTATTAGCGTGGCCTGAAGTGCCCTCGTACTAAAGACTCAGTCGAGGGTTGGGGTGAATAGAGGGGAGGGGATGACCCCCGCTACTTTTCTCGAAGAGCTCTTGGTCGGACGTTAGCCCTGAGCTTGGAATACGATGCTCCTCACCAGGGCGACCCCCGGTCCCGGGCTTAACACCAAAGGGGGTTTTCTCTGATAAGCATTAAAAGTACTTGTTTCCTTTCTTGTTGCGATTTATCTTGGTGGAACGATAAAGTTCCGGGCGGAAGGGTTAGCTTGCCGTTGGTGATGCGCCAGACAACTCACCACCGCTCCAAACTCCTTCCTTCCCTAGGGGCCGTCTTGCCCCGCACCCTTTGGGACACCTCAGGGTGCAGATTGCGCCCGCTAAAGGGTTATCTCCCCTCAACGCTCGCTTCAGCCAACGCCTGAGCGTCGGAAATGACCCCGTGGCTCAGAATAGGCCATTTGGGTATGGGCACCACATAATGTGTC